AGACCCAAGTGTGTAGCCAGATCGGCGACCGTCAGCTGAAATCCTCGCCCCAAGAGAGTGAAAGTGAGGGTTGTACGAGAGTCGATGGACTGGAAGTTCATCGACCTCGACCCTGTAGATGGCTCCAACTCTAGAGAGCACAGGAACTCGATCGTCAGTGGCAGGCTAGACTCGGCCCGCATCATGAAGAGGCGATGCCACCTAGTCCCTTGTAACAGCTGCTCCATCTCTTCAGCGTATCCGTAATCGGCGAGAGCTGCCGAGGATTAGTACACAGATTTCGTCAATGAGCGGTGACGACCCCACATCTCAAAGCGCTGGATGGGTCCAGAACCCACCAGGTGAACATCGGCACGCGTAGCAGTCGGGTATGCTGGTCTGTGAGGCATCTGCACATGAAACACACATATAAAATCTTGCCCCCACGTAGGTGCGACAAGTCTCCATTCATTTATTCAAAAGAAAGGAACAACAGAAAATAATAACTAAATAAGGTAGAAATAACGGGTTGCCTCCCGTTCAGCCCAGATAAGGCCACAAGTACACGCAACAAGTACAAACAATAGCAGAAGATTCCAAACAAATACAACACACTACAACACCTAGCTCATATCCAGCTACTCTAATCATGGTTCTCCAAAGGTTCCTATCTAGGGCCATATCCTCAGTCAGGTCGAGAAGTCCTAAATCCTGCCTAATCACCTCCTCCCAATTCTTCTTAGGTCTACCCCTTCCCCTACTTCCCCCGATAACCGTAATCCTCTCGCATCTCCGTACAGGGGCGTCAACATCCTGTCGTCTCACATGGCCAAACCATCTCAATCTCGCTTCTCGCAACTTGTCTTCCACCGGTGCCATACCTACCTGACGTCGGATAACTTTGTTCGAAATCCTATCCAACCTTGTCTTCCCACACATCCATCGTAACATTCGCATCTCCGCCGCATGCAGACGACGCACATGAGTCTTCTTAACCGCCCAACACTCTGCCCCATATAACATAGCAGGTCTGACTACAGATCGATAGAACTTGCCTTTCATTCTAGGCGAAATCTTCGGATCACACAACACCCCTGAAGCTAACCGCCATTTGGCCCAAGCCACTCCAACCCCATGTCCAACATCCGCATCTAACTCCCCATCTGCCTGAATTACCGAGCCAAGATATCGAAACCTATCTACCTTAGGTACTAGGTGAGAGTCAATCCGGACTTCCACCTCTGATTCTGTATCCCGGCCGCTGAAACGACATTCCATGTATTCAGTCTTATTCCTACTTATTCTGAATCCTTTAGTCTCAAGGGCAAGGCGCCATAATTCCAACTTATCGTTTAGTCCCTCACGCGTGTCGTCGATAAGCACAATATCATCCGCGAAAAGCATGCACCATGGGACCCCGTCTTGAACACCTTGAGTTAGGACGTCCATCACCAAGGAGAATAAAAAAGGGCTAAGGGTAGACCCCTGGTGCAGCCCCATCCCTACCGAGAAAGAATCTGAGACGCCCCCAGAAGTCCTTACCTTAGTCATAGCCCCATCGTACATATCCTTGATCGCGCGAGTGTACACGATGGGAACTCCTCTCGCCTCAAGGCACCTCCATAAGACCTCCCATGGCACCCTATCATATGCCTTCTCAAGATCAATAAACACCATATGAAGGTCCTTCTTCTTAGTCCTATACTCTTCCATTAACCTCCTCACGAGATGAATGGCCTCTGTAGTCGATCTGCCAGGCATAAAACCAAACTGGTTCTCCGAGATGCAAACCCCTTTCCGCACCCTATACTCAATGACTCGCTCCCAAACCTTCATGGTGTGGCTAAGCAGTTTGATGCCTCTGTAATTCTCGCAGCTCTGAATGTCACCTTTGCCTTTAAACAGAGGGACCAAAAGACTCTCCCTCCACTCATCAGGCATCCTTGCTGTCCGGAGGATAACATTGAATAGTTTGGTTAACGAAACCCACGCACCACGACCCGCATGCTTCCAAAACTCCACTGGAATCTCATCTGGTCCTAAAGCTCTCCCACTACGCATCACGCGGAGAGCCCGAACCACCTCTTCCAAGCAAATGCGCCGGCAATACACACGAGACGCCCCATGATAGTCTAGAATTTTGACATGTGGCAAAGTAAGAACTCTAATTTTGAGACACGTGTAATGCTCCACGCGTCAGCTTTTGGCTTCTTACTGGAAATCGCCCAAGCCTTTCCCAATGAAATCAATTCCCGTTCATGGTTCCGTCTTCTTCGCGTCGCCATCTCCATCGCCGCGCAGCCTTTTAAAGGAAAGTATCAGAGCCGGATTTCTTCTTCGCATAGGGTTTGATTCTTCACCAAAATTATGAGAATCCTTAATTGCGTGAATCTCTTATTGCAATCAGAATTCTCAATGGCTCAAGAATTAGGTTTGTTTCCTAAATTGATTTGAAATTTTTATTCAATTTGTAACTTCATTGATTCCTATTCTCTATTTTCGATTTCCCTGCGGTCATTGATATTGCGGTATGGTTCTGCTAAAATTCAAGCATCTTCTATTTGTTATATTTGCTCAAACTAATTTTCTAGAATTTTGATCTCGATAATAGATAGATTATTATTCTTTTCTTTAAATTACATCTAGCATCATCATCATCAATGTCATACAAAGTGGACCGATTCAAATACCCGAATATTTGGAATGTATTAGTTTGAATTTTTAAATCCGAATATGATACAAATTTGTAATGCAATTCGTATTAATTGATATTCAAGTAAGGAATTTTAAGCAAATTTTCAATTCTTATTTGGCATAATAGATATGATGTACCCTGATGAATTCTGAGCCCATCACTTATTTCTTACGGAGTATATTATTCCTTTAACATTTGAATAAAAAATTATACTCCTTATATCACACTGTTTTTTGGGGTTGAGGGAGTGACACTGAAATTAGGGAAATTAAATTTATGTGTTTAATTTTGATTTTAAACTAAGAAGTATTTTGTAATCCATAAGACAAAAAAAGAATTGATGTTAACCAAACAAGTATGACCAAATGTAGTACTCCGTATGTGACAAAAAAAGTAGAACACATAAAAAAGGTAAAAGGGTATAGAGTGAGTACTGAGTATTTGCATTTGAACTATTCAAACAAGAATCATCATATTTGAATATGAATCATGAGTTGATCCATAATTGTTTGCTTTACTTACAACCCTAATCAGCACCACGTAAATATAAACTATTGAGATAGGTAAAACTTAACAACTATTTTGGTGCTTTCAAATAGGAGTTAGAGTTTGTGAGCTTGTGTGTATCCTTGAGGGCTATCTATGGAGTTGAGATATTTGTTATTGCATGTCTGTTACTGTGTGTTTAGTATTATGATAACTGATAAGAAGCCAACAATATATAATAGTAAGAATATACCAAAGGTATGAATCTCAATCTTGGTTGAAGTATGTGTGAAGTCCAAAAAGTAGTACTATAAGACGGGTTTTAGGTTTAGCTTCTTAGGCAGGAAGCCGCATTTTGGAGCTATTCTGCTACAATGCCTATGCCATACAACTGTTCAATGTGTAGCAGACAAATAACTGAGTTAATACCTAAGCTTCTTTGCACCGTTTTAAGCTAGACTCCAAAGTTACTAAAATTCTTGACAATATTCAACATTATAATCTCTCGTGTGTAAATGGAAATAATGATTTTCTCATGCCAGTGCAATCTGTCATTTTTTGTGCAACCTCTCATGCCGGTGTGACCGCTTCTTTTTTATTTGCAAAGATGTAGGCGGAGGATCATTGATGAAATCCTGTAAATTATCATTACATTCAAATTCTCTGCGGTAAGTTCATTTACTTCATTTCCCTATCCTATGAGGGAGGCAAGTTAAAGAGTTATTATTGATTTGATTAGTTTCAATGCTCTGTTGCAGATAATCTTGGGTTATCTGTACTCAATCATGCCGTATGAATTTCTGGGAATAGGGTATCAACATGCAATGCGCCTTTTTTATTGCTCATTTTAAGGTACTTTCCTTTATCATCTATGGTATTAGGTTCTTTCTTCTCTGAAGAAGAAGGGCTCAGCTAGGGCATGTTAGAGAGATCTATGCAGCAGATGTTACGAGTAACATAGTTTTGTTCTTTTTTCTTCAAGGATTGATGCCCTATTCTCAAACGATCTATTGAATGTGCAGCGCTTTAACAGTCATTGGTGTTTTCCTAATTCACGCACTAATAATTGATAGTGCGCAGTTTACTACTACCAAGCG